TGCTGCAAGATAAGCCAAGTGCACTTCTTTTTTTCAAACTCTCTTCCTCCCTTTTCTCATTTTTGCAACTCTACAAATTACATTCACCCCAGTGCCTGCAGTCTTCCCATCACAAAATAACACATGAAGATGGATGTGGCTGCAGTGCTGCATCAGTGAGCAGCTGCAGGCCARGTCTCTGACACGTATAATCTGAATATCGAGAGGTTTAACTCAAGAGGGCTCGGATAATTACGGTATCACGCAGCAGGAATTGTRTCCCAATAATGCATCAAAGGATTTGAAAAACACAGAGCTAATTTAGGATTATAACTTCTACATTGCCGCATTGTTATCGTGAAGGAGGAGTTATTTCATTAGCTATAGCTCATCTCTCTGTAGACGTCTGAGGGGAAGGAGATGATAATTTCCTGAGGAGCGAAGGCAAACTCCACCAAGTGGAAATTTAAAAATCCAATAAAAAAAGTCTTGATTGTTCTGAGCTTTGTGGGTAAACGGAGTTGGCCTTTAAAAAACGTGCAGCGGGGCTGTTAATGCAATATTTAGGGAACAGTGAAGAAGCATCAGTTTTAAAAACGAGTTACACAATGCCGGGCGGACGTTTTCTAATTTAGCATGAATGCGTCACAGTTTTGGAGGTTTGTACCGAGAAGGCTTGAGTAAAGCTAAAGATTTATTTAAAGAAACAACAAAGGATGACATGGCAACAAAAATAAATAAATAAATAAATAAATAAATAAATAAATAAATAAATAAATAAATAAATAAATAAATAAATAAATAAATAAATAAAAACAAAGATGAGCCAGACATGGCATGAAGCACAACAATGCTCCACTGAAGAGTCAGGTGAAGCTGAGGGTTGATAAAGGCTGTGGCTGATGAGTGGAGTGGCTGAAGCTGTGACTGATTTCTAGACAGGCCCGACAGGCTGACTGGGAAAGCACTGACTGAAGGAGGAATGGCTGGTGGCACAAAGAAAAATACAAAAACTAATTAGATGAAAACACAAGGAACTCAACCCAGAACAATAATGATTAAAAAAAAAGAAAAACTAACAATGAACACAAAAAGAACCACAACAACACAACCCAAACCCGTCCTGACAGAATGATGTGAATCCTTCAGTGCAGAACGCCACCGAGACTTTTAACAGTATTACAGATTGGTCCCTGTGGGAGGGAAAKTTTGAACAATTTTATTTATTTAAAGCATCACTGCCAAAAATAGTAAAAATACAGTTATCTCACATCACTTCAGCAGACACTTGGATAGTTTATGATTGTGCTGGGGGTCACACCATCAAGCCCGAGTTCATCTCAAGACTTCTGCGGGTTTAAGTTAAAAAGCTTCACTGAGATCAAAGAAGAGAAGAGAAGATGAAGAAAAGGCACAAAATAACTAATCAAGACCAGGAGAACACTGGAACACAAACATAAATGACTGCTGGGAGCCAGGCCTCATTCACAGCAGGGGTGGGGGGGGGGACTAATGTCAGCTGTGTGAACGCTCAGAAACAAATGAACAAACCAGAAAAAAAAAAAGAACAGAACAAAATTAAATCTGTAAATCAGCTACATTTAAATGACTGCAAAGACCAAACATTAGAGGACTTTAAAAGGAGTTAGTTAGTTAGTTAGTTAGTTAGTTAGTTAGTTAGTTAGTTAGTTAGTTAGTTAGTTAGTTAGTTAGTTAGTTAGTTAGTTAGTTAGT